CCTAACCATTTATCAAAAGGATACAAAAGGGATGGAGGGAGAAATCTAGCAGCACTTCATTATAGTCTGTTAAGCAGATGTTACTACCAGGCTGCCAAAATTTTGACAAGAGATTTTTCTGAGTTAAAAGTAACCCATGTCAGCATGTATATCCACACATTTTCTTTCTGCCTCCTCACACCTCTAGTTAAGTGTATTCCTCTAGAAATGGTGGGATAGGTTTACAACCATATCTGCTGTTGTCTGTATGTGGCGTTACTAGTACACACTTTTTTAACAGCTGGGAAATTCTGGACTACCTGACATTGCTGTGTGTGTAGTTCATGGAATCTTGACCTTCTGTGGAAAGATTATGGTATTGTTTATTGTGATAGATTCTAAACATAGCAGAAATATACCACATCTGCTGAATGATCTGGTGAATTTAATAGTACAACATGATTGGCCTAGCTGAGATTTTACCACAGGCATAAAATGAGCAAACTTCTCTACCCCAAAGAGATTACAAGTCAAGGTGGTTGGGATATGCAACTCTTAGTAATCTTCACTACAAAATCCAGACCACATTAACACTAGCACAGTGACTTTTCTTTTCCATTCATTCATCTATCCCATAATAATAATAATAATAATAATAATAATAATAATAATAATAATAATTTATTTTTATCCCACCCCTCTGAGACGCAATCGGGGCAGCTTACAGTATTAAAACCAATATAAAATACATACAAAACCCCCCAAACCCTCCCACCCCTTAAAAAGATATTGAACAAAGAACAATATAAAACAAAATAACGTAAATCACAAATAACATGGCAATCATAATAACAGCAGCACAAAAAGGGGGAAGAAGGATTAATCAAGGTCGAGGGGCCGGGAAAACTATTCAGGAAAGGCCTTCCGGAAAAGGTCCATCTTAACAGCCTTTTAAAAGTTGTTCAAGGGGGTAATAAGATGGATCTTGTCCAGCAGGCCATTCCACAGTACTGGAGTAATAGCTGAGAAGGCTATCCTTATGTGATAATGTGAGAATGATGCAGTTATACTTCAAAGTGCAGCTGAAACAGTCATGTTCCTTTTAACTCTTGACACCTGGAGACCTTTATTAATTCTGCATTTCTATTCTGTAGAACAAGTGATATATAAACCTTGGAGCTCTGAGTATTCTTCCCTGTTACAGTGTTGGCTAAAGCCACCTCCTATATTAATTATTCACACTGGTTTTATGTGAAGTGGATCACACACCAAAACAGAGGAAAGGCCTGTAAATCAAGGTAGGTTATATTTTATTTAAGGAAAGGCTAGTCCTTTTAAAAAGCCTAATGCGTCCTTGTATATGGTCATTGGGCCACATGATTAATTGTATGTGTCTTCTGAAGAAAATTTGCTTTTAAATGGAGGAGTAGACTGTGGAGTGGGATGGCTCAGCTAGTCCCAGTGGATATGTCTCAAGGCTTCCCCACACATTAAACAGGCAGAGAATGAGAGTACAGTCAGTAGGGAGCTCTCAGCAACTGCATCTTTCTGATAAGTGCAGCTCTATGAGATACACCTTCTAACACCCACACTTTGCATCTTTGCAATGTGCTTATAATATGTTTTAAAAATAGTGTGTGACCCTAACCATTAAAAATATAGTGCATCATATCAAATCTAAATTCTCTAGCAATGAGTAGGACCAAATTAAACATGTTCAGTACTTTGTAAAACACACCTAAGTAACATCCAAAATCCACAAAATAGTGATACCTTTATTGGGCCAACCTAAAATACAAAAAATACATCATGAAAGCTTTTGAAGCTCTGCTGGCTTCTTCATCAATCAAAGGTGTTAAAAATCATACAGGAAAAGAAGAAAAAATGTTAGAGTCATAGGCCTACATTTTGTCAAGAGGCTGTTTTTGTTATCAGTTAAGATGGTCTAGAGCAGGGGTCCCCAAACTTTTTGATCTGGGGGCCGGTTCACTGTCCCCTAGATCTCTGGGGGGGCAGAGGCATGCGTGCGCGCACACTCATGCACACAACTTGGGTGCCATTTTGTCTTCCATAGTTCTTTGTGTTCAGGTGTTTTTATCTTATGTACATTTGTAGTACTTAGTTATAGTATTACTCTGCTTTGTTTTATTTTGGAGTTTGTTAGCATTTCTGTTATTCTATTTTGTATTATATATTTGGTTATTAGTCATATTTAATTGCCTTCAAGCTTTGGTTTTTCTGTGTTCTGCATATTTCCTCCACTTTTATTATTAAAATCAAACACTTTTTTGTTTGATTGATTGGATTCTACTCCCCCCCCCCTTTGCTGTTTCTAGCTGGTGTTTTGGTTCTCTTTTCTATACACAAACTGTTGCTTGGATTGTGGAAGAGAAATCATGGAGCTCCTCTGAGTTCATAGAGTTCTATCTGAGCTGGTAGATTTCAACAATTTAGTAAACTTCCAGTATTTTAAAGAAGGTGAGGATTAACACATTGGATTACATGCTATTCATGTTTTTTTAGGTCTTATAAGTTAGTTTTTCATTTGCTTACAGCGGCTTGCTGTTAACACATTTCATCTTCTAATATGTTGTTTAAATGGTAGCTCTTTGGCACAGAAAATATGATCAAAACTCTTACAAACTCTTCATTACAAAACTCTTCATTATTATCTAATGCACAATTTGGGAAGTAAGAGGATTTTTTGTAGCCCAGCATCCATAGCCAGATTGCTGTTGATAGGTGATAAATATGATAAATCATATGAAAGTCTTTATGGAGTCAGCTGGGTGGCTACAAAAATTAGGTTATTTCTGGAGTGGTGTTTTGGTGATGGAACTCTCCTCCATAGGCATATTGCCCATTTGGAGCCCCAGAACAGTCTGCCATGTTCAACCAAGTCTTCTACCTGCTCTTAGTTGCTCTCTTGCTTTTGTTACATGTGTTGAAGCTGATTTGTCCAATTTGCTCATTGTTTATTCTTAGTCGTTGTTGTTGTGTGCCTTCAAGTCATTTCCAACTTATGGTGACCCTAAGGGAAACCTATCACAGGTTTTTCTTGGCAATATTTTTTCTGTGGAGGTTTGCCATTGCCTTCCCTTGAGGCTGAGAGCATGTGATTTGGCTGAGAAGGGAATTGAACCCTGATCTTCAGAGTCATAATCCAACACTGAAACTACTACACCATTGGTTATGCTTTACATTATGCTTGGAAACTGTCTTCCAGACTATTACATAGGGAATATAAGGTATAAATTTCCAAAACATTTCCAGAATGATATACCTTGATTATTTAATCATTCAGATATTCAAACCAAAGGAAGAAGCATTTAAAACAGTCACCATCTTGGTATGGTGTGTGTGAGAAACAAGTGAGGTTGTCTGAACTTTTGATTTCATTAAAAAAGCAATGGTGAAAACACAACCCAGGCTTGTCAATTAATACAGTGCAGCTTGAGCAATAAGTCTCTGCAAGGGAGGAGTTTAAAAAAGAATGGCTTTGAACCCCAGTTGGGTTGCTTTACCTCCTCCCTGTAGGTAGTGACAATACACACCCTTCTGGCTTGCATCTTTCTTTCACCTTTAAAGTGCTTGACAGGATATGTGCTGTTGCTTTAGATCAACATTGCAGATTTTCTTGTTGTGACAAACCTTATGCTTCCTTCTCAATGATTGTGACCCTTCGAAGAAATTGTGTGGCTATTGGACACATGACAAACACTTCTGCAGTGATGCTAGTTGTACTGGGTTACTTACATTCTTACAAATTTTCTGAAGAAAATTAATCTATCTGGAGATTGGAAGTCCCTGGAAGCTGGTATCTGTGTGGTGCAGCTCAGAGTACCAACAAGAAGGGATTGGCACTGGCATTGGTGGATTAAAATGGCGGACAAATCAAGAATGAAAATGAAAAAGAAGTCCAAATCATTTTCTTATGATCGCCGAAGGGATTCAGTAAAAGTTAAACGGCAGACTAAATCTCTCCGCTTCAAGTCTGCTACCTTGGAAACCTTTACAAGAGAAGTGAAGGAGGGGCAGGTTGGTACATGTTCATTTGGCACAATTCCTGATCACATGAGAGTAACACAGATTTTTAATTTACCAGGTGCAGTTTAATCACAATGATTTCACTTCCCACCAACCCAGTTGGTTGTCTTTTTAATTTTTTTGGTCATGTACTAAAGTATTAATTCACCTTTTTTTCCATTTGGAGAACAATGATAATATAATTGTTCTTTTCAAAAACTCCAGTGGAAGGTGGCTTTTTTGTTCCTTCCTGGTCTGGCATTACTCCTGTCATGGAGAAGCCCATAACCCATGTTGTACGATCCATCTGATGTACTTTTGTGAGACTATTGAAGTATTTATGCTTAATGTTTGCCAGGGGATGTGTCTGTGTGTTTTACTCATGGTGACTAGAATTTTGAGTCCTTTTTGGAAAAGATTCATAAGCAAAACAGATGGAACACGCCTGAGAATCCGAATATATTGTATCGTTCTGTTGAGCTTTCCCCCCACAAATTCCTGCCTCTAATTTTGCTATAATGTTCAAACTTACTTTTAGTGACTTTTATCAGTTTTTAATGGATTGCAAACAGCTTTAAGGCAGAGTTTCAAATTAGGACTGAAAGGAAGTCTAGAAATGTACTTGTAAATAAATAAGAAGCAGTTGGGAAACAGAGTTGTCCCTTCATCTATCCTGGAGGAAAAAAAAAGTTTTCATCATCTTGCATTGATGACTCTCTGTTTCTGCCTTTAATAAGGTTAATGAGAGCAGTAAGTATAGTAAAACACTCAGAAAACAACCCTGGATGAAATGTAACTTCTTTATTTTGGGGCATTTGCTCTTAGGAGAAGAGAAACAAATGGGAGAGGAGATACAAATAGCCATTACAGATGTGTAGTATTATTTCCACCACCATTGTTGTAGGATGCAGTCAGATCACATTAAATTAAATAGTTGCTTTCAAAAAAATTTCAAATCTGCTACTGATTTGGTAGGTTTCAGCAGGAAAGTTAGAGGCAGTATGGTATAGTGATATGAGTTCTAGACTAGGACTTTAGAAGATCAGGGTTCAAATCCCTGCTCAGCCAAGGAAACCCTCTGGTTGACCTTGCACAAGTCATACACTCCCAGTGTCAGATGGAAGGCAGTGGCAAGCCCCTTTGGAACAAATTTTGCAGAGAAAATCCTGTGATAGGCCTTAGGGCCATGTTGGCAAATGCATGACATGTGTGCCAGAGAGGGCATGGGGAACCATCTCTGTGGGCTTGCATGATTGGCCAAGAGTCCTTCCTTCTTATGGCTCGGCTTCCTTTTGGCTGGAGGAAGCATGGGCAGGGAATTTGAAAATCTCGGTGGCTGGGAAGGGCTGTCTCCTTCCTCCAAGTGGCCATGCTTTTGGCTCTTTCTGGCTGTTCTCGGCTTCCAGGGCCCTGGAGGAGCCTCGCTGCCTCAGCTGCGACTGCCACTGCTCCCGCTACTTCCAGAGGGAAGGGGAGGCTGGGTAGGAATTCAAAGCTTCTGTGGTTTTTAAATGCTTGTTGTTTTTGTTGTTGTTGTTTCCAAGATGTTTCCAACTTATGGCGACCTTAAGGGAAACCTATCATGGAGTTTCCCTGGCAAAATTTGTTCAGAGGGGATTTTTTTGCCATTGCTTTCCCCTAGGGCTAAGAGAGTGTGACTTGTCCAAAGTTACCAAGTGGGTTTCCATGGCCAAGCTTGGATTTGAGCCCTGGTTTCCAGAGTCGCACGCTAAAACCACTGGACATGCTGGCTCCCTGTATTACATTTGTTGTTATTATTGTGTGTCTTGTCTGCTTTTAAAATGCTTGGTTGTTGTTGTTGTGTGAGAGCCGGGAGGGAGGGAGGAGAAGGAAACAGTGGCAGTGGGTGGCCAGTGTGTGCCTTTGTGCCTCCACATTGTTGCTGGCGACCCTAAGGTGAAACATTATCATGGGGTTTTCTTGGCAAGTTTCATCAGAGGAGGGGTTTGCTATTGCTAGCCTGAGGCAGAGACAGTGTGCCTTGGTTTTCATCCTCAGAGTCCCACCCTGAGTAACACCCCGGGTGGGAATGACACTGAGTTTGGGCACTTGGTCTCTAAAAGGTACACAATCACTGCCTTAGGATCTTGATTTGGAGAACATGAAAGAATGCAGGGGAAAGACAGTTTGTGCAAGGGAGTGGGTTTCCTAGATTGAATTTGTGTATTTCTTCTGTTTGTTTTCTTTATGGTCAGCATCAGACCTGCTAATATTATGGTGTCATCCGCATATCTTAGGTTGTGAATATTGCTTCCTCCTATCTTAATTATAATTATTCCTTTTCCCGATTCTAATTCTGCTTTTCTTATGATGTTTTCAGCATATAAATTAAACAGGTAGGGTGATAGGATGCAGCCTTGCCTGACCTCTTTGCCTGTTGGGAACCACTCTGTTTCTCCGAATTCTGTTCTGGCAGTGGCCTCCTGTCCTTGGTAAATATTCCTCATCAGGACTATCAGATGTAATGGCACCCCTATGTTTTTGAGTGCATTCCATAATTTTTCATGATCTATACAATCAAATGCTTTGCTGTAGTCTGTGAAACACATGCTACATGCTGATTATTTGTTTAAATTCTTTGGTGTGCTCCATTAGCATCGTAGGTTTGCAGTGTAGTCCCTAGTGCCCCTTTCTTTTCTGAATCCTGCTTGCATGTCTGGAATGTCTATCTCCATGTCTGGTTGGAGTCTATACTGCAGAATTTTTAGCATTATTTTGCTTGCATGTGAAATTAGTGCTCTTGTCCTGTAATTGCTGCAGTATTGCAGTCTTGTAGATTAGTATGTACATTGAGCATTTTCAGTCTGTTGACAACCACTTTGTTTTCCATATTTGTTGACATATTTCAGTTAGCACTAAAGTTGCATCTGTCTGTGGGCATTGTAGCAGTTCAATTGGGATATCATCTGTCCACCATTTGCAGATTGTACTTTACTTCTTAGAATTTGGGGTTCATCTTCATATGGTTCCTCATTTGAAATGCCATTCATTCCCTCCTCTCTTTTGTATAACTCTTCTGTGTATTGCTTCCAGCGTCTTTTTTATTTCTTCTTGTTCCTATATTATGTTCTTTTTTTCTCCATAGATCATCCCTGCCCTTGATTTGAACTTGGCTTTAATTTCTCGGATTTTTTGATAGAGGTCTCTTGTTCTTCCCTTTTTGTTGTTGTCTTCTATTTCTCTGCATTGGTCATTGTAGTATTTCTCCTTATTTCTGTGTGTCAGATGTTGGACAGTTGTGTTCATCCTTCTGGTTTTGTTCCTATCTCCCTTTGCTTTTGCTTTTCTTCTTTCTTTTATTGCATGAAGTGTTTCATCTGTCATCCATTGTTTCTTATCTTTCTTTTTTGTGTTAGTATTTCTTTTTTGTTAGTGTTTTCTTGAATTTGTCATTAATTATGTCTTTGACTTCTGTCCACAGTTCTTCAGGTTCCCAGTCAATTATACTCAATAGTTCAAATCTGTTTCTTACATTGTCCTTGAATTCATCTGAAATGTTATTCAGGTCATATTTGGGTATAATGATGCTTTTTGCTTTCTTCTTCAGCTTAACTCTGATTTTTGTTGTGAGCAGTTCATGGACTGTGCCACAATCAGTTCTTGGTCTGGTTTTGGCCACAAGGATAGAGCTTCTCCATCTTCTACTTCCAATTATGTAGACCAGGGGTAGGCAACCTTTTTGAGCTTGGGGCCGGGTTGCTGTCCCTCAGATAATTGGCGGGCCGAAGCAAAATAATAAAATAATAAAAATAATAAAAATAAAATAAAATAAAATTTAAAAATATGCATGCACACTCTCTCAACCCCAGAAAAGCCATGATGGCAAAACTCCTGTGGAGATTTTGCCAAGAAAACCCCAAGAACAAGTAATAACAACAATAATCAATATCATCATGGTGGGGGGGCAGGACTGGCTTGGGGCCGGTTCAAAGGCCTCATGGGGCTGCATCCGGCCCCCGGGCCGCAGGTTGCCTACCCCTGATGTAGACTATCTGGTTTTTGTATTTACCATCTGGTGATATCAAGGTGTATAGTCTCCTGTTTGGTTGTATGAAGCAGGTATTTGCAATAAACAGGATGTTGGTCTCACAGAATTCTATCAGATGCTCTCCTGCGTTATTTCATGTTCCTAATCCAAATCTTCCTACTGTTTTTGATTCTTCCTTGTTGCCAACTTTAGCATTCAGGTTTCCAATTATTAGTTTGGAATCTTGTGATGGTATGTTGTCACTTTCTTCTTGGACTGCATCATAGAATCTCTCAATTTCCTCTTCATCTGCATCTGTGGTTGGTGCATATACCTGGATTATTGTGATGTTTATAAGTCTGACTTTGAATTGAATCTTTTGAGTGCTTTAGCTATATCTTTCCTTAATATGAAAGCCACCCCATTTCTTCTTGCTTTTTCATTTCCTGAATAGATTATTGTATAGTTGTCTGAGTCAAAGTGACCCATTCCTATCCACTTTAACTCACTCACTCCTAGTATTGCTATATCCATGTGTTCCGTTTTCTTCTTTACTAGTCTAGTTTTCCCTGGCTTATGTGTCTCACGTTCCATGTTCCAATTACATGTGTAGTATTGCTTCTAACTATGCTTGCCTTATTGGACATGTTTTCTGCCTGACCTCCCCCTCTCTAGTTGTTGGTTTTTGAGCTGTCTCACCTAAGGGTTTTGTTGGTTAAATGGTCTTGCAAGGAGGAACACCTTTTGCCTCCTTTCGTGCAATGCTGACAAGTGTCAGCTATGGTGACTCTACCATTCTCTGTGAGAACTGACTTCACTGTCACCCACCATTACCGCTGCAGTCCAATAGCTGTTCCTATTCTATTTTATGCCTGTTAATCTGCCTGTTATTCCCTTCTTCCCTCCCTCAGTTCTCTTCTCCATTTCCCTTTTACACTCCTAGATGTCCCGCCTCCTCCCCACCTCTCGCTTTGTCCCCAGTGGCAGCATTGGCGGCGCTCTGGTCTTGTTGATGTTCCTGGGCTGAGGCGTTGATGCCTCTCTCTTTGTCCCCATTGATTATTTATTTATTTGGAGTATTTATACCCCGCTCTTCAGCCATAAAGGCTCTCAGAGTGGCTAATTTTTTTAAAAATTAGATAGTTCTCTGCCGTCGGGCTTACAATCTAAAAAGACATGACACAAAAGGAGAAGGGAATGGTGATAGTGAAGGGATCAATTCATTGGTTCTTCTCTCCCTCTGGGGTTAAGGTCATGGCAAATGGGCTTCTTCTTACTTTGGGCTAGGCCTGATGGAACTTGCCTGCTTCTCTCCCCCTCTGAGGCTGGTTGATGGTAGATTGGAAGGGGGGGCTTCTTACTGTGCCCCTCTCTTCTTACTGTGCCTCTCTCTTCTTCTTAGGCTAGATGATGGTGGATTGGAAGGAATGGGGTCTTCTTTGTACTTACAGCTGATGGCTGCACCTTTCTGGTCTCTGGGGGTGATGGTGGTGGTCTGATGTACCTGACTCCCAAGCCTCTCTCTTTGTCCCTGTCGATGGTGGTGCTGTCCTGGTCTCAGAGGGGAGGGCTCTGATGTACCTGACTTCCAACCATTTCTCTTTGTCCCCATTGATGGTGGTGCCCTTCTGGTCTCATGCTTAGGGCTCTTGGATGCCTCTGGAGTATTCTGGTTCTAAATCCCCCCTGAATTTCCTCTTACCTGCTGCGGGTTTTCTGCAAACAGTGGGCCTTCCCACTTGGTCCTTATGAGCCAGTTGGTGCCATCAATGTGGCCAAGAGTTGTCTGAGTTTAGAAGAGCCACCCAACCTTGTTCTGACCTCAGAGCACTCACACCTGCAGAGCACCTGCCAGGGACGCTTACTACCACATAGGAAGGCAGCCTCTTGTTGTCACTGTGTTTTGCTCTCTGGAAAATCCATAGCAAAAGACGAGTCTTTTAAAATATGCAACAAGGCATGAAAACCCCAAATCAGGTCAGGGCATTGGGCCTGCATAAAGTAAGCAGTGTGCAGTGAGCCTGGGGAGAATTCGGTGTTTATAGGTAATGTAGACAAACCCCTACACTCCTTAAGAGGT